CGGCGGCGCGTGCGGCGGGAGCGGGTGCGCGCGCAGCCCTGCTGCCGCCCGACGGCCTACGAGGACGAGGTGTCCTTCCTGGACGTGCACAGCCGCTACCACACGGTGCGCGAGCTGTCGGCGCGCGAGTGCGCCTGCGTGTGACTCTACCTCACCGGGCCCGGCCCCACGGCGGCCACGCCCCCCCGCCCCGACGGCGCGCCCGGCCGACCCCGCGACAGACTGCCCATGCGCAGGAGAGGCCGGCGAGGCCTCGGGACTCTCGCGATAACTGTACCGAGATAAAGTGTGGAAAACCGAGCCCGCGTCGTCATTCCGAGCTCCGGGGGCGCCCGCCTATTGGAGGTGGGGTGGGCGCCACCTCCAGCGGAAAAAGGGGGACGGGCGCGGGGACCACGTGCAGGATGGTGGGAAGATCCCGTTTGCTTTAGGGGCAAAGGAAAGTAGATGCAGAGGGTCCTGTTTCCGGGGCACGAAAAAAAGTGGGGTGAATGTCGTCAGGGACTGCCCTTCCTACCTGCCTGGAGGTCCCTGTGCCCCTCCCCGGCGTGCCCCATCCCCACCTTCCCTCAAGGTGTGCTGTGCAGGGGGGGGGGGGAAGGTGGAGCCATAATGCAGAGGAGGAGACTGCGGTCCAGGTGGACCCAGTCTCCCCAGCGTGTCCCCATCCCCACCTCCCCCAGGTGTGCTTCTGGGGAGGAAGGAAGAATTGAGGTTAGTAAAGGGAGGTGGAGTCGCTCTGCAGATGAGGAGACTGCGGTCCAGGTGGACCCAGGCCTCCCTCACCCGATGGGCCCCCTCCGGCCCCGTCAGCGAACTCAGAGCCACTGTCTCCCTTCACGAGCTGAAAATATACGCGAGCAGTCCATCTCCCTGTGGGGATGGCTCTGGGGCGGGCGCCAGCCCCGTCCAGCTCGAACCCAGTGCCTGCAGGGGCACAGCCGGGTCCCCCAGGGACCTGGGTCCCGGGCGCATAAAAACCCCGGCCAAGGCTCGAGGGGGGATTTACGACGAGCCCCTGCGGAGGATGGAAAAAGCCCGGCGCGCTGTTTAGATTTGCCGCGGTGTCACCCTGATGCTTGGCAGGCCCGGGACGGCGCCTGGTGTGGGGTTCCCAGAACGCGGGGAAGGGGGCGGCGCTGCCGGCCCCTGGGAGACCGGAGGGCGTGGACCCCTCCCCTCCTGCCACTCCGACTGGGGCGCCGTCTCTCCTTTGCTGTCCCCTAGCCTGGCCCCCTCCCCTTTCCCACGCGCCCTTCCCAGACCCAGTCCCTGTCCCGAAGCTGGAGAGCTCCCATCAGAAGCTGTCGCCGGGGAGGATCACCCAGCCCGCCAGGAACAGCCCCAGCTCCCTGCTCCCTGAGGCCCTGGTTGCAGCTGGAGACAGTCGAGATAGCTAACAGGCAGGACTTCCAGGGCGCCCTGGGAGCGGGGCTTGGTGGCCAGGCCCCGGCCGTGGGTGGTCTGCTTGGAAGGCAGTTTTAGAGCAGAGGCTGGCCGGAGTCCCCGCCCGCCCCTGGAGTCTTCTGACTCTGAGGTTTGGGGTGGCGGATTCCTCCACCGTTTGGGCTGACTCAGCCTGGCATGGCAGAGGGGTGGGAGTCCCCTGATGCTGCGGAAGCCAGGCCTCAGTTTCCCCATCCTGCCTGGCCCTGAGCCTCAAAGACGGAGGTCGCTCAGCCCGGGACACACAGTGGAAACACTGGCCTGGGAGCCCGGGGCTGTGGCCCCTGAAGCTTGGCTGCCTCGGTGTGTGTGTGTGTGTGTGTGTGTGTGCACGCGCGTGCACCCTCTCCGGGCCTCCCAGGACCTCAGCCTCCCCGTCTCCCCCCCAGATCCAGAATCCCAACCACAAGGCGCGGGCCCGGCCCTCGGAGAATTGGAACGTAAACAGAGCTGCCCCCGCAGACCCCCGGGGCTGGGATTCCCAGCAGAGCCCGCCACACACATGCACACACGCACACATACTCACACTCACAGGGTGCAGAGACTGCCACTCGCACGGGGCTTTGCAGACAGGATCACCCACAGACCCCCGCCCCACGTTCTCACAGGCTCAGTCTCGTGCACACTCGGAATTGCACACTCAGAGCAGGGCACCCTCCAAGTCACCGCTCATGGCAGAAGCACACTCTCGCCCCTCGCCCTCCTTCGAGGGGCGGTCCCTGCCCTTCCTCCATCCTTGCGTCCCCTCTGCTAGCCCTCCCCCGCGTGGACCCCCAGACAGCCTGGCCCCAGCTCCTCGCTCCCTCTGAGCCGTGGTCTCCCGGCACTGCCTGAGGGGCTTCACGTCGAGGGTTTCCTAGCTCCTGCCATCGGGGCTGGAACATTCTCGGTGGTGGGGGCCCATCCTGGGCACTGCGGGCTGTTGAGCAGCATCCCTGGCCCCCACCCACTCGATGCCATCAGCGCATCCCAGTCGCGACAACCGTAGAGGTCCCCAGACATCCCCGAGTGTCCCCTGGGGGCAGAGTTGCCCTGGGGTGAGAACCATGGTTCTAGAATAAGGAAAGACATATCAGTTTTTCTCAGAGCATTTTCATCTGGAAAATGGAGCCAATATTGTCTACCCACATCCCCACAGGCCGTGATCACCAGCACATCCCCCAAAACCGTCACCAGTGGGCGGGACCCCAACGCCGCTTCCCCAGGGGCCGAGGGCCTTGGTGGGTGTGGTCCCCAGCAGGTGGGAGCCCTCGCAGGTAAGGAAGGTCCCCTGAGCCGAGATTCCTGGCAACACAGATGTCCGGTAAGTCAGGTCCCAGGTAAGTGACATCTCCAGCAACCAAGGTCCCCAGCAGGTGAGATTCCCAGCAGGTGAGCCCTCAAACCCCCAGCAGGCGAGGTCCCCAGCAGGCGCGCTCCCCAGCAGGCGAGGTCCCCGCAGGCGCGCTCCCCAGCAGGTGCGCTCTCCGGCAGGTAGGCAGGCTCGCTCCCCGGCAGGTGAGGTCCCCGCGCTCCCCGGCAGGCGCGCTCCCCGGCAGGTGGGCAGGCGCGCTCCCCGGCAGGCGAGGTCCCCGTCCCGCCGGCTCAGGTGAACCAAGAGGCTATGCTGGGCACCGTCCGGTAGCCGGCCTCCTGCTGCAGCCGCCAGCAGGCCCTGCAGAACATGAGGGCCCAGCTGAAGGACCTGGGCCGCAGCGTCTCCCTCCAGCGGAAGTAACTCAGGTAGCGCGCGGGGTCCCTGTCCAGCGCCAGCAGGTACTGGGCCAGCTCCCTGGGGCTCTGGAAGTCGTCGACGTGGATGAAGGCGTCGGCGGGCAGGAACTGCTCGTAGTTGCTTCTGCTGGGGCCCAGCACCACGGGCACGGCCCGGGCCAGCAGCGCGTTTTTCCAGAGTTTCTCCGTGATGTAGTCGGGGTGCAGGGAGTTCTCGAACGCCAGGTAGAACTTGTAGCGGGCCAGCCGCTCCATCATTTGCCCCTTGGGCAGCGGCGTGTGGGAGCGCCCAAACACGTCCACCTTGAGATGTTCTCGCAGCATCTCATAGTATCGCACCCTGGCTGATTCCGTCCTCCAGTTGGACACCACCCAGGCCACCAGCTCGGTCTTGGCCGAGAGGTTGACGGGGGGGTCTTCAGGCTGGCCGGGCCACGGCTCGAGCCAGCCGTAGGGCACGAAGATGTCCGAGTCCCTGCGGTAGGAGATGGTGAGATTGAAGTAGCCGTCCAGGGCCTTCAGATTGAGGCAGTGGTCAGGTGGTTCCATGTTGAACCAGACCCAGCGCTGGCCCGGGGGCCGTGGGGAAGGAGGGAGCCGCGCCCGGGGCCTGGAGCTGATCTCTCGGTGATGCACGAGGACCGCGTCTGCCCGAGGGTACGCGCTGCGGTTCACGGTCAGCTGGCAGTCAGGGGTCCCCGGCCAGAGCTCTGAGCAGCGGGACAGAGCCACTGGGATGTTGAACGGCCACGTCCACAGCAGAAGGAGCAGGGGCGGGCGGGCGGGGGGCTCCGGGGTGGCCTGGCAGGGGTTCCCCTGGGAGGACTCACTGGGAGCTGCGCTGAGAGACTCCGCTGCGGTGGCCCTGGACTTCGGGGGCCATATGGGCTTGTCTTGGGACACATGCAGGTAAGAGAAGAAGCACAGAGCCAAAAGGATCTGCACCAACAGCCCAAGGAGGTGGTGGCGCCAGGAACACTGCATCTTGGCCCGGCCGAGTGCATCCAGGGGTGAGAGCAGCTGGGAGGCAGGGAGAGTGGAGACAGCATCATTGATAAGAGAAATAATAACCCACGCATGGGGGGCAAACATGGGTGACCCCGGTTAATATTCACGAGTCCTGAGGTGGGCGCCTGTTTTACAGATGAGAAAACTGAGGCCAAGTGACTCAGAGAAAGAAAACAGCACAGCTAGAAGTCCAACGTAGAGAGTTTGGCCCCAGAGTCCATGTTGTCCTAACCACTAGGCAACACGACCTCTCTACCTGGGGAGGGGTCCCCAGGGAAGGTGGGATAGGTCCCAGTGGCTCTCACGTCCCATCTTGGCCCTGCCCTTTCCCAGCTTGCCCGGACTCTGTCCCAGAAGACAGAGCTGGTTACAAGATGCTCCCAGTGACCTGGAGCTGAGGCTTGAATCCAGGGCTTCATCTGCGAGGAGGGGTACAGTGGGGTGGGGTTTTGAAGGTTGTATAAGAGCTCACCAGGTAGAGGAGGAGTCGGGGGAAAGGGTGTTCCTGGCGGAGGGAACAGCCACTGCAAAGACCTGGAGGCGAAAGAGAGCCTGGCCGGTGTGTGGGAGAGCGAAGGAAGTGTTTAGGGATGCTGGTGTGAACTTGACTTTATATTTACTCAATTTCATGCAATAAGGGCTCAAAGACAGCCCCCAGGTCCCTCATGGTCTGACCGATTTCCCTCCATTTCCGGGTCCTTCCTGTCCCCGCAGGTCACCAAGTCCTCCCCGACCTCAACCACTGGGGCGGAAATCTAGGACCTCAGCTCTGCCCCTCTCCATGTTCTGCAGCCCTGAGGCTGCCCATTTTACAGATGGGTAAACTGAGGCTCAGAGAGACACATGTCTCTTGCCCAAGTGCACACAGCTGGAGCTATTATGATCCAAAGCCCAAACTCTCCCCTGTTGATGTAACCCCAAATTTCTCTCCCACTTTGCAGGTGGAACTCAGATCTCCAGCCTGGCACTGTCCAATAGAACTTTCCACAATCATGGAAATGTTCTCTGTCTGCACCATTTGATTCAGTCACCACTATGAAAGAGAATGTAAAATAGCACAATAATGTTTCTATTGATTACACACTGAAATAATACGAATTTGGATCTATTGGGTTAAAGAAGGTATATTATTAAAATTAGCTTCACCTGTGTCTTTGACATCTTTAAAAATATGGCTACTAGAAAAATATTAAGTACACACCATAGTGCATTATATTTCTGTTGGACAGCCTGTGCCTCTCTAGAATTTCTAAGAAAGAGAACTAGTGATGGGGCCAGCCCCATGGCATAGTGGTTAAGTTCACACGCTTTGCTTCGGCAGCCCGGGTTCGTGGGTACTGATCCCGGGTGAGGACCTACACCACTTGGCGGCCACACTGTGGCAGTGACCCACATATAAAATAGAGGAAGAATGGCACAGATGTCAGCTCAGGGCGAATCTTCCTCAGCACACACACACACAAAAAAAAAAAAAAAAAAAAAAACCCTTAAAAAAAAAAAAAAAAAAAAAAAAAAAAAAAAAAAAAAAAAAAAAAAAAGAACTAGTGATAATGAATCATAATTAAAATGCACCGACCCTCTGGCCAGACAGATTGGCCCGAATGCCCACAGAGAGGCCTGCAAGGGCGTTTTGGACAAGCTAAATGTCTATCAATGTGTGACTGGTCAGATTAAGGTCCCTCCCTACAACAGAATACTACGCAACTGTGAAAAATGAATATAGCCACTGTGTTGGCACAGATCCACGGATCCAGGTTTTCTGGAAGCTGACACTTCCATATTTGGGAGCCTCTCCAAGTCCTGACTTAGATGCGGAAGCAAATCTTTTTTTCCTGTTTTTTTAAATTGTTTTATTGAGGTTGTATTGGTTTATAACATTGTGTAATTTCAGGTGTACGTTATTATATATCAGTTTATGTATAGACTGCATTGTGCTCACCAGCAATAGTCTAGTTTTTATTCGTCACCATACACATGTGCTCCTTTACTCCTTTTGCCCTCCCCCGACCCCCTTTCTCTCTGATAACCACCAGTCTGTTCTCTTTATCCACGTGTTTGTTTATAGATATGGAAGCAAATCTTTTCTGAGGGGGCCCTGAAGTTTAGGCTTCATCCCCTTCATGGTAAATTCACCTCTGCCTGAAATAACACAGTTTCTGGAATTAAGTAGTTTGGTCTAAACCTGGGCTGTCTGATATGGGAGCCGTTAGCCCCACGTAACTACTGATACTTGTCGTGTGGCTAATGGGACTGAAGTTGTAAATGTTATTAAATTTCAAATGTAAATGCAAAAACTGAACAGCGTAAAATTTTTTAAAAATGAAATATAACTTTACTGTTTGGGTAGGAACCTTTTTCACTCTAGCCATTGAAAATTTAGTGTCCAAATAGAGATGTGCTTACAGTATAAAATACACCACAGAATTCCAAGAATTCATATTAAAGAAAGAATGTAAAATATCTCATTAATAATTGTCTATATTGATTACATATTGAGATAATATTTTGGATGTATTGGGTGAGATAAACTATATCGTTAAAATTAATTTTACTGGTATCTTTCTATTCTTTTTAATGTGGCAGCTAGAAAATTAGAAATGTGGCAGAAAACAGGTTGGCAGTTCCTCAAAAAGCTAAACCTAGAATTACCATTGGATCCAGCAATTCTGCTCCCCGGTTTCTACCCAGAGGGACTGAAAACAGGGACTTGAAAAGATACTTGTACATCCATGCTCCTAGCAGCATTATTCACAAAGCCAAAAATTGGAAACAACCCAAATGTCCATCGACAGAAGAATGGATAAACACAATGTGTCCATCCACACACTGGAATATTACTCAGCCATGAAAAGGAAGGAGATTCTGACACTTGCTCCAACGTGGATGGACCTTGAGGACATGACGTTCAGTGACATGAGCCAGACACAGAAGGACAGATACTGTGTGATCCCCTCACAGGAGGCCCCTAGAGGAGTCACAGCCACAGAGACAGAAAGTAGATGGTGGGGCCAGGGGCTGGGGGAGGGGATGGGAGTCAGTGTTTCATGGGGACAGAATTTCAGTTTGGGAAGATGGAAAGTTCTGGAGATGGATGGTGGGGGTGGTTGCACGACAATGTGAATGTGCTTCATGCCACTGAGCTGTGCACTTAAAATGGTTAAGATGGTAAATTTTATGTCATATATATTTTGCCACAATTAAAAAAAATAATGTGATAGAGAAAAAGCCAGTGAATTGTACACTTTAAGTGGGTGAATTGCACGGGATGTAAATTCTATCTCAAGGAAGCTGTTTATAAAAATGACCTTGGTGGCTGGCAGGCTCCTTCTATGGTGCAGAGCTGGCATGAGCCGCCGAGTGCAGAGTGGAGGACCTGGCAGGTGGCCTCGTGTGATGCACAGGGAGTGGGATGTGGAATTAGGTGTTCACACCAACGTTTCTGGAAAGAGACTCAAAAGACAGGCCTTCGGGACAGCCACATGCAAAAGAATGAGAATAGACCATTATCTTGCACCGTACACCAAAATTAACTCAAAATGGATTCAAGACTTGAATGTAAGGCCTGAAACCATAAATCTCTTAGAAGAAAACACAGGCAGTACACTCTTTGACATGGGTCTTAGCAGCATCTTTTTGAATACCAAGTCTACTCAGGCAAGGGAAACAAAAGAATAAAATAAACAAATGGGACTACATCAGACTAACGAGCTTCTGCATGGCAAAGGAAACCGGGAACAAAACGAAAAGACAACCCACCAACTGGGAGAAAAGATTTGCAAATCATATATCTGACAAGGGGTTAATTTCCAAAATATATAAAGAACTCACACAACTGACCAACAAAAGAATGAACAATCTGATCAAAAAATGGGCAGAGGCTATGAACAGACATTTTTCCAAAGAAGATATACAGACGGCCAACAGGCACATGAAAAGATGCTCGACATCACTAGTTATTAGGGAAATGCAAATCAAAGCTACAATGAGATATCACCTCACGCCCACCAGAATGGCTATAATTAAGCAGACAAGAAATAACGAGTGTTGGAGAGGATGTGGAGAGAAGGGAACTCTCATACACTGCTGGTGGGAGTGCAAACTGGTGCAGCCACTATGGAAAACAGTATGGAGATTCCTCCAAAAATTAAAAATAGAAATACCATGCGATCCAGCTAGTCCACTGCTGGGTATTTATCCAAAGAACGTGAAAACACTAATTCAAAAAGATATATGCACCCGTATGTTCACTGCAGCATTATTCACGAGAGCCAAGGTGTGGGAGCAACTCAAGTGCCCATCAAGGGACGAACGGATAGAGAAGATGTGGTACATATCCACAATGGAGTACTACTCAGCCAGAAAAAAAAAAGATGAAATTGTGCCATTTGTGACAACATGGATGGACCTTGAGAGTATTATGCTAAGTGAAATAAGCCAGATGCAGAAAGACAAACGGTATGATTTCACTCATATGTGGAAGATAAACAAACACATAGATACAGAGAACAGACTGGTGGTTACTAGAGGGGAAGGGGGTGGGGGGAGGACGAAAGGGGGAGAGGGGCACATGTGTATGGTGACGGATGGAAACTAGACTTTTGGTGGTGAACAGGATGCAATATACACAGAAACTGAAACATCATAACGTATGCTGGAAATTTACACAGTGTTACAAATCAGTGTGACCTCAATAAAATAATTAAAAAAAGAAACAAAAGACAGGCTTTCATGGAGGCAGCCCGAGGCACGAGCGGGAAAGAGACTGAACTTCGACCCCAAGCCACCTCGTGCCTTTGGGCTTCGGGTTCCTGCACAAAAGGTTAATAAATTAGTAGACGTAATTAAAATGAATATACTTTGTCTTGTTCCATACGGGCCCTGGCTTTATGGCAGCCTCTCCTAGGAGACATGAGCCCCTCGGCAGTGATGTTGAGGAGCACAGATTGGGGGGATGGGGAATGGGAGGCCAGGCCTGAGATCCCACCCAAGTTGAACCCAAGATCTTTTTTCCTAGAAAAGGATTGGAAAAACGTCACCGTGCTGGGGCACCACACAGATCAGAAAAATAAAAAACAAAAAAAGCCCCTTGTGCATCTCAGGTCTTTTCCCACCAGACGGGGTGGGGAGAGAAGCCAAAGTTGGGAGAATGAGGGACGGTAGGGTGGGTTTCTAACTCAGTCAGGGAGAGAGACAAACGCTCCGTTCCCCCTGGTTTGGCAAATTAGAATTTCCTGACCCCACTCCTCCTCTGGTCCGCCTGGTACCCAGAAAGACCCCTGCCTGTGACTGGGGGCTGCTGGCAGACTTCTAGTCTGTCCCACAAGCTGGTGGAGCCTCGGCTGTGTGTCCTGCGCCAGCCCCAGGTGCCACGATTCACGCAAACAGGATGGGGCAGGGGGAGAGGGAGGTGCAGCCCGGAGGGCGAACATTTGCCCCAAGAGGCCTTACCTGGGGACAGGGGCAGCGCGAAGCTGCCCGGAAGGTGGAGGACCGAGGCCCAGCTGGACTCCCAAGATGTGCACAAGGCCAGATCTGGGAGGAGAAGGAAGCGAGCCTAGAGGTGGAAACGGCTGGGACCAGTCCCCACCCCTGCCATCAGGTGACTGAGGGTGTCCTGTCCCAGGATCCCGGGCACTATCCCAAAGCAAACTCTGGGGCTCCCTTAATCTCTGCTGTAAGACCAGATGGGGCGATGTAGGAAGTTGGGGACTGGAGGCACTGTCCTGGCCTCATCTTCAGCCCCGAGGCTGGCTTGGCCCTGGGCATACACTTGCCCATCCATAAAGCGAACAGGCTGACTGAAGTCGCTGTTTCTCAAATTGGGTTCCATGGGGCGGCAAGGGGCCCCAGGGGTTCCTTGGGGGGTGGGGAGGGGCAGGTGGGCAGAATTTCAAGCTTCCCTCCTTTGCTTCCACCAGATCCCACCCCCATTTCTTGAGTACCTGCTACGTGCCAGGCCCCAGGGATAGTACAGGAAGCAAGTGAGATGGGCAACACATAAGGAAACTCATAAATGATCATAAGAGCATTATTTGCACAAAACTGAGGAAGGTGTGACCTGGTCTGGACTTCCTGGATGTGTGAGCTGTGAGCTAAGGCCCCAGAGGCGTTCTCCAAGGAAAAAAGGACGAGGGGAGAGCTTTCCAGGCAGAGGGAACCATCTGTGCAAAGGCCCTGAGGCAGCGAGGAATGGAGGAATTGGAGGAAATGCAGTAAGGCTGGGTGTCCACGAGCAGGAGATAGGTCAGGACTGGTGCTGAGGCCAGGCCACATTGAGCCGCGTCTGGCGTGGTTAGTGATGGAGTCTTGAACACAAGGGCGATAGGGAGCCATGCGAGGCTTGCAGCAAAGCAGATGCCACGTCAACTCCTGTTTTGAGATGCTCTCTCAGGCCGCCACGTGGGGGACAGGCTACCGGGGGGCAGAAGAGGCAGGGAGACGGAGGAGAAGGAGGCTGCTGCAGGCAACCCAGAGCCCGAGGTGCAGACCTCAGCTATCACCGCTGCCCTCTTCCCAGACCAGAAATCATTTCCCCGAGGCCGCTTCCCACAGCCCGGAGTCCCACCATCTGGGCGTCCAGCTAGTTCCAGGCCGGCGAAGGTTCCAGGAGGCTGGGGGTCTCCCAGGGCAGGGCCTTTACAGAGGAGGCCGCCCCGAATCTCCTCATGGCTCACTCCCTGGCAGGTGGAACGATCTGGTGACTTGTTAAAATATAACTCGTAGAGCTGTCAATCTCAGTGTCACTGTGTCCAGGGCCCACGGCCAAGCCCTGACGGTCAAGCCTTCAGCCTTCCCACAGCCGCCCTGCTGACATGGAAATCAAGGTCCAGGGATGGGAAGTTCCTTGTCACACGTCACTTGGAATCTCAAGGTCACTGAGGAGTCTCCAGGCACACAAGCTGCTCTGCCAGGAACACCCTTTGCCTCCTGCCACCTTGTTAATCCCTAGTCATCCTTTAGGGCTCAATGTAGACACCTCCTCCAGGGAGCCTCCCCAGATGCCTCCCCTGCCCTCCCAGCTGGATCAGATCTCTTGTTTGGTTCCCACAGCTGCCTGTGTGTCCCCCATCAGAGCTCTGGTCACACTGTGTCGCTTCCCCCACTGGGCTGATGGCCCCATGAGCACAGAAAAGCTGGGAGAGCAAGGGAGTGGGGAAGAGAGAGTAAGAACTTGGGTTGTATTTCAAGGATTTAAAAACCCCAAAGCAGGTCTCTAGTGGAGGGCCACAGGGCTCTGCCTGTTCTACATTTGTGATCAAAGTTTGGCTGGCTGTGTCTGCAAGCGTGTTGGGCTGGGACCCTGGTCCTGCCTTTTACCCACTGAGGACCTGAGGCTAGTGGCTGCCCCTCTCGGAGCCTCAGTTTCCCCCCTCTATGACATTGGGCTTTATCTGCCCTGCGGCCGGACCAGGAAGGTTCCAGGAGGCCTCCGCCTGACAGCTCCTAAGGGGCCGGGACTGCAGCAAGAGGGCGGCCTCCGGGGCTGCCCCCTCCCCCTGCGTCTGGGCCCTCTGGTTCAGATCCACTCGTCCCCGTGTAGCCAGCTGGGCGCTGTCCACGGGGGATCCCCCCACACAACTGCGCCGCAGGACCCCCAGATGCCTGTGGTCCCCGGGGGCTCGAGCCACCCGTCCCCAGGTCATGGGCGTGGTGCGGGCTGGGGCAGGAGCAGCCGAGCCCCAGAGGGTTTCCATACCTCGGCCCCCCAGGGCAGCGGGAGGCTGGATGACCGGGCTGGCCTCAGGGATGGTGGCCCTGCGGTCAGTAACTGAGCCCTGACCCCGAGTGACCCCCGGCCCTGGCTGAGCCCCAGCCGCAGAGAAGGAGAAGTTGGCTATCGGGGTCCTGGGGGGCATTAGGGGCACAGTAACTCTGCCCCCCACCACATCTCTCCCTCCGAGTCCTGTCACCGCACAGGGACTGGCGATGAAGCTTGAGTGTTTAACAGGGCAAGGAACAGGGATTAAGGGGTCAGGTCACCTGCTCCCCACCCAGACCGCCCCACCTGGCACTGCGGTCAAGCCGGCTCCCATCCTGGCCCCGATGCCACTCCTGGCAGCCGCTGCGCTCCTGACCCCACCTGCACCCTGACCCCCCACGCCCTGTGCACTGGTTCCCTCCGCCCAGAACAGCCTCCCCCGCCCGTGACCTCTTGCTGCTCAGAGTGCCATCTCCCCCGGGAGGCCACCTGCCACACCGTCTCTCCCATCGTTTAGTTTTATGGCCTCAAACCACCTAGTCTGTCTACAATTTTATTTCAGAGCCTATTGACTCTGTCTGCGTCACACGGCTGGGAAGTGGGGATGGGGGTGTGGGTGGGGGTTTGGGATCTGACCCCAGGCTTCCTGGTCTTGGGATGTGCAGCTGGACCAACCGCCAGCCCCTGGGGTCCAGGCTTTGCGGGTCAGAAGACCACCCCCTGCCCAAAGCCAGAGGGAGCTGGTGGTCATCCTGAGTTTGCTGTGTGACCCGAGGGATTTCCTCACCCTCTCTGGGCGAGGCTTGCCCGGTGGATGCCAGGCAGGGCCTCCCTGGAAGGGAGCTGGGCCCAGAGCCCAGAGTGGGGGATCTGGGGGCCCCCTCCCTCAGGCTCAGGACGAGCTGGGACCAGCGTGCAGGGTGAGGGGGGCCACCTGCGCCCCCCAGCTAGAGTGTCTGCCTGCATTGGACCCCCCAGCGCCTCGCTCAGCCTGGGCTGGGTGGGTGATGGAGCTGCCAGCCTGCTGGAAATTTTATTCCTCCTGGGGCCTCAGGGTTGTGAGCCAAGGGACAGCTGGCGGCTCAGGAGGTGGGCAGGGGGCCGCTGGCCTTCAATGGGTGAGAAGGGAGCCACAGGTGCGATTTGGGGCACACGGCGAGGCAATGGGGGTGTGGGGATGGTGCTTGGGTACCGGGGGGGCAACCCAGCATCTCCCAATGTTGGCCCAGGAGGGTTCCCGTTCCCCTCTGAGCCTCAGAGAAACTTCCAGAAAGAGGGAGAAAAAGCGAGCTGTTCAGTTGTCAGGCGTCAGATCATTGGAGGCGGTGACCGCAGGGATGAGGGGTTCCGGCCCCACCCTACGAGATGGCATCGGCCTCCCAAGTCCCCTGGCCTAGAGCCAGCGGTGGGGAGAGGGGCCCCAGGTGTGTGGTGTGGGTGGCAGGTGAGCGATGGGCCTGGTGAGGCTGGCTCAGGCCCAGGGTCACTGGCGGGCCTTGCACAGGCCTCCCACACCCTCACCTGCTGGCGCCCCCTCCGTTCTTGGGCCCCAGTCAAAGGCATCACGGGATCCCCGAGCGTCCACTGTGCAGACAGGGAAACTGAGGCTCAGAGAGTGCCTGGAATTCATCCCCACCCCCAACTCAGTCTCCCTTGGCATTCTCCAGAGAGCAGCAATTTCCTCCACCCCCAGAATGTTCCGGAATGTTCCAGAAGTCCTCATTTAACATCAGAATCCACCTGCAGCCCCTGAGTGCTGGAGCTGGACTGGAACCTGGGGTCGTGTGTCTGACCTCAGAGCTCTTGACCATAAGAGCTTCGGGGAACTGACTCTGATCTCCGGCAGCTGTGTGACCATAAGTGAGTTACATGACTTCTCTGGGCCTTAGTCACCTTGTCTGCGAAACGGAGCCAACGCGGGCACCGAGGTGACCCAGGATGTCACGATCATCCTCTCACAACCCTGCAGGGTCTCTGCAGGACAGAATTGTGGGCAGGGGCTGGAAACACACAGGCCTGGGTCCCTGGGCCTCAGTTTCCCCCCCCCATGCTATTTTTAAGAACGCAGCCTCTCCCTGCCCTTCGTTGGGGGCTGCCTCATAGAGAGGGAGTCAAGGAAGCTCAAAGTGACAGAAACCTGGCATCCTCGCCCTGGCCGCCCCCAGGCTTCCTCCACCCCGGCCCCCTGGCACGTTGGGGTCTGCCCGGCCCTAGCACCTCGGGGTTATGTGGCTTAAATTTCAGCCGGTGGTGGGCGAGGAGGCGGGGGTCTGGACACGCTTCATCTTCCAATTTCTGGAAATAAAAGCTGTGGGGCCATCTATTGCCGAGTGGAAAAAAGCCCGTTGCAAAACCGTGTGCAAACATGACAATCGCGCCTACAGGTGCGTCCCGCGGCATTGCAGGGACTCGCGACCCGGGAACAAAAGGCCCTTTTTCTCCCCTGGAAAGGTTTTGTGGAGCCTGTACGTGGTGGTTTCCGCATCAGAAAAGCCAGGGGAGGTGTTTTGCAAGATTCGGAGAAGATGTGTTGGGACAAGGAAATAGAAGAGCGTGGATTTTTCGGGTTTGTTTTCAGAGGATGCTTTTCAGTTTTCTGAGACACCTGTCCCTCCGCTGGCCAAAAACAGAGCCAGGCATGCTGGCGCCCTGGGCCCTGGGCCCTGGGCCCGCGGGGAGCATATGGAGATGCCACGTGCGTGCGGAAGATGCGCCCGGAATTTGCATCCCCCATCCTCCGTTCCCATTGGCATTCTCCAGAGCGCAGCAATTTCCCCCTATCCAGGCTCTCAGAATGTTCCGGAAGTCCTCGTTTACAGTTGGAATCCACCTGCAGCCACTTGGGTCCTCGACCCAGCTGCAGCCTCTGGCCTCTCCCTCAGCCTGAAGGGTATCAGTGCTGGGGACTGACCTCGGAGCAAGGGTAGAGCTGGATGGGAGGATTTCAGGCCGCATCTCACATCTGCTCCAGACCCTGCTATGATCCCGTCCATCTCAGAGGCAAAGCCCAGGGGTCCTGCTGCATTGCCCCATGTGCCTCCTCCCTGTTCATACCCCAGGGCCTTTGCACATGCTCTTTCCTCTGCCTGGGACTCTCTCCCCTGATACCCACACGGCTCCTTCAACTCTCTTTCCCTCTCGAATCACTTTATATCAAGTTGCCCCCCACCCCGGCACTCTCCCTCCCTCTCCGGCGTTCTTTTCCTCCAGAGAGAATACTGCTGATTAACCAGATCACGCATTTGACTTATTTGCATCATTTCTTGCCTCTTGCTGTCCCCCCACCAGAATGTCAGCTCCTCGGGACAGCTTGGTCTGCTCCATTCCCCGCTGAGCCCCTAGCACCTTGAACACGGCCTGACCCGCTGAGGGGCTCAATAAACACACTTCGAACAAATGAATGAATGAACCAAGGAATGAATGAACAGCACTGAGCACGCTCAACAATTCTGTCTGTTTCTGGCTTGTCACTGCCTTCCCCCGAGACTGGGATCCCCGTGGGGACCCCAGTAGGACCTGTCAGGAAACAGACACTGAATAAATTACGGCATCGGCGCGTCCACTCAGACAGAGTCTGGAATCTGACTCAGAATTATCCACAGACTTTGGGGCAGGAGCGGCTCTCGTCCGTGCTCTTCCGGGCCCCCCACCCTGACCGCTCCTGCCCGTGGGCTGTCTCTGAGGGGCCCCAGGTGAGGTGGTCCCCACTCTGGGCGACGCGGGGTGGGGAGTGGGCCGGGTGGCGGGCGCAGGCAGGCGAGGAATGCTCGGCCGCCAGGAATGAATAAACAGGCTCTTGGATGTCAGAGGTTGGGGGGTGGGGGACGCTTTGAACCTCCTGCTTGGCTCAGGATGTCTGCACAAGGCAGGCGGCCAGGGGGTGTCATCAGGGCTAAAATTAGCCTCCGATTCCCGCTCAGCCCCTCCCTCTGGGGCCGGGAGGGAGCCCGGGGCCCCCGGCCATCACTTAAGTGAGTGCTACCTATGTGCCAGGCCAAACTTCTCGCATATGTGAATGCATTTAATCCTCTCAACAACCCCGACGGTCGGGTACTATTATTGTTAGTAGCATTAGCCCATTTTACAGGTGAGGAAACTGAGGCACAGAGACAACTGGCTCACAATCCCACACTCACCAGCTGCAGAGCCGGGATTCGAACCCAGATTCAAGGGCTATGCCCTCACCATCGGGGCCTTGCTGAGGGCCAGGGGAGATGAGAGACTCCACGCGGCGGGTACTTGCGGGAGGCAGGCACGGGCCCCTCCTTTCCTCTCCCCCAGGCCCTCTTGAGTCACAATTTCAGCATCCAAATGAAAACGTGTCCATTGCTTTTGGCAGAGAGATGCAACCTCAACCTCCCCATCAGACCTGGGCCCCCATCCTGGGCCCTCTGGGAGCCCCAAGGTCCAGCACCTAAGGGGGGGCCGCACCTGACAGAGGCCCCCCACATCCATGCAGCCAGGGTCCCTCTGATTGGTCAATACGGATCGGCATCCGGAATCCACCCACTACGCAGGCAGGACCACTGAGGCCGCCGTCCGTCCAGGCGGGCTTGGCTGATAAAATGCAGCTGAACGTGAACTTCAGCTCCACAATGAACCCTGTTTTACTAACACTCACTGGCTCCGATGGCCTTCCAGCAAGGTGGTTCCTGATGAGCTTCCCAGGGGCCGAGAGGAGGGCGGCGGGGCGCGACGGGGAGGGGGACCCCCTCTGTCCCCGCCCCCGCCCTCCGGGTCCTGCCTGCTGTGGCTCATTATTCATTTTTAATGGGGGTCATGGGGTGAAGTGTGGGCAGCGAACACCTGGGCCTGAGGTTCGCGCCACAGGCGGCCTCACTGACGGGGTCAGAGAGCGGGTGGGGGCGGGGAGGGGGTCCCGGTGCCCCAGGGGCTGGCCTGGGGCAGGAAGTGTCCAATTTGGGGCAGGGGCGGGAAGCAGACCCCCACTGCACCCCGCCATTTCCTTTCACATCGAGACAGGAGACCAGGACTGTATCTCTACGCCTGGACCCGTCCCCGCCTCCTCCTGGGCCCGGGACCCCAGCCGCAGGGGCTCTCTGCACGCCCAGCTTCCTCCTGCCCCAGGCTGCCCACATGCCAGGAGTTCACTGAATCCTCACAGCCACCCCAAGGAGGGGAAACTGAGGCCCAGACAAGGGGCTGACTGGCCACCAGTGGCAAGCTGGGGCCGGAACCCAGGACTCTGCCAGCCAGAGCAGTGCTCTCGGCCACGCCCCTTTCTTTCTGACCTCTGAGCCATCGTCTATGCTGTTCCTCTTGATGGGTGACTCTCTTTCCCTGCTATACACCCTCCGGCACCCCCTTCTCCAGGAAGCCTTCCTGGACACCCAGGCCGGGTCAGGTGCCTCCTCTGGGTCCCCCTCTGCCTGTGTAACCCCATTGTAACTGCCTGGTCACATGTCCATCTCCCCCACTGGACTTTGAGCCTTGGGGAGGAGAGTGGGTCTGTCTTGGTCACCACTGTGTCCCCAGCGGCCAGCACAGGGCCTGCGACACAGAAGGCGGAAGTGCTCCGGAGCCAGTCACAGGGCCCTGGCTCTACCCTCATTTGCTGTGTGACCCTGGGCAAGTAGCTATCCCTCTCTGAGCCTTGGTTTCCCCATCTGTAAAAACGGGGAATTCCTCACCTGAATTGCTCGGTGCGGTGGGGTCCCAGGTCCTCGGTCCACAGACACAGAAGGATTTGAGAGTGGACACACAGCAGAAGTTTTAACAGAGGAAGATTATGAGCAAAGCGAAAGGACACCCCCAAGGGGACGGGCGGGCAGGTGTGAGGGAGCTACTGCACCAAAGTTGCGGTGGTCGGTGGTTTTGGAAGGTCAGGTCCGGGGGTGGGTGAGGGGCTCAGAATGTGTGCCAATCGGGGCGTTGTCTCCCCCTCACATCGGGAGGGGGAGATCTTTTCCTTACATAGGCATCTGCGGAACTGTCATGGGGGTGATCCCCCACAGCGGGGTCAAAACCACAATACAAATGAGGATAGAATGAGGCGGGGGGCTGCCCTCCGTCAGGGTCGAGGGGAGCGCTGTACGTCTGAGGAGCTGCTGCCCGGATATTAGGATGCTGCCCCTGGTGGAGTGACCTTGCTCCCAGCTCATATCTAGCCTCCTGCCCATCTCATCCTCCCCTCAAGAGGTCTCAATGCCCTGAAACCCTTCAGCCGAATGGGACACGGAGCCTCTCTTTTAGCTACTTCCTGCTGAAAGGGGGCGACGTGCCAGGGTCTCGAGTATCCTCTTGGTCTGTCTGGGAGCAGGGCGGACCTAGAATTGGGTCTCCACCATAGATGGGGCTCTGTCCCGGGTCTCCCGGCAAAATCTTTGAGCAGCTGCATGCAGGGGTCTCCTGGAGAGGCACGCTATTGGAGAGAGGCGTATTTCACCATAGGGAGAGCAGCTGGCTGGACCAGCATTTGGAACTTCATGGCCTCTATGCGGGAAGAAATACACTTAGGACATTTAAAAGATCGGGTCCAAAGATAAGCAGTAGAATGCAAACTAATGGTCCTATGAGAGGGAGAAACCAGGCGAGGGGTGGAAGGACACCCCAGATCGCTGACCGTATCTGATTGGGGGCTGGTCCCTGATTATGCTATGGAGCCAGGATGCCTCTTCATAGATTGCTCGGATGTTGGTTTCAACCTGTCCTGAGTTATTGACGTCAGTGCAGCAGGTTTTGTTAATTACTGCGTAGCTGCCTCCCTGCTCAGCGAGGAGGTAACCTAACGCCCGTCTACTATCCATGACAACATGTGCTAAGGAGTCTAGGGACGCCTCGATGTTTTGCAGGGTTTGTCCTGTCTTTATAACCAGGTTTTCAAAGGCCCGGGTGAGGTTTCTTATAGTTGATTCTTGGTATATAAATCCGCCCCACGGAGCTGCCATACCCAGGGCAGCTCAGCTCTGGCCAGAAGTAGTCCAATTGCTGGTCCAGGTCTGGGTTTGGTATTGTCGGGGATAGTTATCCCCAGTCCCTGAGGACTCAGCCGGCCCACGGTGCACGGTCCCCTGAATTGGGTGTTATTCTCATCACATAGTAGACTCGCCACCGATCTGGAAGCTGCCCTGCCAGATGGTACATCTGTTCTGGGGCGGCTTATGTTGGTTTCCATCGTTCTATAGACGGGAGGCAGGACATCACTGGGTGGTATTTGGTCCGCAGGGCTTAGAGTTGTCAAAGGTTATCGGGAAGATAGTGGGCGGGGCCCGGAAACCATAGAGATTGAAGGTGAGATTGTAGCAACAGCTTGACCCCTGGCAGGTGCAGGAGATGAGGTGTTTCAGCAGACGAGCTGAAGGACTGCGCTTTGGGATGAGTAATTGTATGGGGGTCAAGTCAGTGCATGGGAAGTTCTGGGATGTTTCCTGGGACCATACCGCTAGCAGGGGTAGAACTTTCTGGGGATTCGACCCAGCAAGGTGTACGGGTTTGGGACAGTTGGGTGGAGAGGGACCACTGCCTCATTACTGCTCTAAGATCCTGTACCATCCGCCACCTTCCATCGGGTTTGGGGACTCCCATGATCGGGGTGTTATAGGGGGAGTGGCATGGGATTAGAATTTTTGCTTTTAGGAACTGGTCTGTGATTGATTGGAGTCCTTCCCGGGCTCTGGCCGTTTCAGGATAAGGCCGCCTATGGGGAAACTGGTAGGGTCTTTGAGGGAGATTTAGACTGGGGCGGCCTTGATGGCCAACCCTGGGGTCCCAGTCTCCCAAACGTCTGGATGTACCCTTTGGTAGATGGGGGAGGGCACATCACCCAGAGAGACTCCCCTCTCGGGCACAAACTAGCCAAAAAGATCCCTGGGGTCCCCGACAGGCGCACAGCTGCTCCGAGGCTCCTCAGGAAGTCCCGGCCCAATAAGGGGCTCGGTGACTCAGGGATAGGTAGGAAGCTGTGGCTAAGAAGTAGGTCACCCCAGGCACACAGCAGGGGCTCAGTAAAGAACCAAGATGTTGGGACACCATCTATCCCGATGATGGCAGAGGTTTTTTTAGTCAGGGAGTCCGGTGAATGTTGCAACACCGAGTATGAGGCTCCCACGTGTAACAGAAAGTCAACCACCCTGTTGGCCGCTCTCGTCTTGACCCGTGGCTCCGCTGTGGTGACAGGAAATGTGGCCGCAGGAGCCTGATGAAGCCCCGGGCACCCTCATTGGCGTGGCGCCACCATGGAGGGTCCATGTCCCCTCCTCCTCCGAGAACGGGGACAGTCCCTTCTCCGGTGGCCCATTTCTCCACAGCTGGGGCATGGGTTCCGCGGGGGTTGATCCCCTCGACGGCCCCGTCGCTCGGGGCACCTGCAGGCCCAAGGGCCATGCTCGCTGCACGGAAAGCAGGGGCCTCTCTGCGGGTGGGCTGGCCCACCAGGGGTTGTGACCGTGGAGCCTGGAGTCTATACTGCAGCGGCTGAAGGTTTGGCCTGTTGGGTTTTTGCCTCTTCCGCCAGGTCCCCCGAGTTAAAAACCTGGAATGCTGCATCCCGTCACTGGTTGACGGGAGTCTGAGGCCCCAACCCCAGCTTTAGGAGTTTCCTCCGTGCATCTGGGGAGGCCTGGTTGAGGAAATGAGTGGCCGGGACAATGGCGCCTGCCCGGGAGCCGGGTCTACGTTGGTATATTTGCGGAGCATTTCTGAGAGCCACTCCGGGTATAAGGCCGGGTTTTCCTCGGGGCCCTGAGTGACTGTCCCCAGCTTATTGAAATTGGCTGGCCGTTGGATGGCGCGGCCCAGGCCCTCTAGGAGGGAGGCTATCATGAGTCTCATGTGGTTTGGCCCTAGCTGGCCTGCTTGGTAGGTCCAGCCGGGGTCGGTTAGGGGGCATGCGGCTGCTCCGAGTGGCAGAGCAGGACGTAGGGCATTTTGTTGGTCCCCGTAGGTCTGCACTGCCCTGAAAATGATGTTTTTTTCCCTCTGGGGTGGCAAGGTGGACGAAAAGAATTGTGACGTCCCTCCAAGTCAAACCCACTGAGAGGGCTAGGTCCTGGAACCCTTCCCTAAACCGTTCGGGGTCCTCCGAGTAGTTGCCCAACTTTTCTTGCCAGGCACTCAGCTCCGACAGGGAGAAGGACGAATATACCCGTGTGATGTCCCCCTGCGATTGGGGACGTCCTGCAGGGGGCATATGGCACTTGGCACATCAGGGGCTGTAGGAGGGGCAGAGGCAGGCTGGGATGGTTTGTACTCCAGAGGGCCTGTCGGTGGCCGGGGTGGTGTCTCAGTGGTTTGAGCCGGGATGATTTTGATGGGTTTAGGGGTGGGGTCCTCCCTCAAGCCATAAAGGCCTGTATATAAGCGACCTCGGACCACTTACCCTCGTGTCTACAGAACAAGTCTAGCTGCACTCTAGTTGAGGCTGCCATTGAGGGGCCAGAATTCCCCATGTCCCAGCGAGCACTGCGGCCAAGCCGTGTTCCATCCAGAAGAAAATGCACTTTTTTTTCCTAAGGCTGTCCGTGGGGAGAGACTTCCACGTTGTCAGGAGACAACCTAGGGGTGACCCGGCTGGGATAGAGGGTTGGTTCCCCATCGAGTCGTGAGTCTTTACCTGTGGGAGAAGGAGGGGAGTGGTCTGCTCGAGCCTCTCTGGACTGGGGCGTCTGAGTTTCCTGGGCTGCCAGGACTCTAGCATCCTAGTCTCCTTGCCCAAACTTTTGCTCTGCCAGAGCATCCCCCGGTGCCCGCGCAGTAACCCTAGGACTCGAACCCAGGGCACCTTGGTCCGACCAAGGTGTGGCAGTGCGTGCCCATTAAAAATAGCCTCCCTGGGATGCCTGCTATCTGGGGATCCCCCTCATCCGACCCTCCGCTGGGCCCCGGGAGGGTGTGGAGCGCTGTCCCACAGCCCAGAGCGTGTGGCCCCTGATGAGTCCCCTCGTCCCCAGGAGGATCCCTTGGGACGTCATTTCCTCGTGGTTTAAGGCCCGGCCCGTGTGCCAGTCAGCCTCCTCTGTCGCCCTTGTGAGGATCTGGTGGACGCAAAGGGCAGCTCGACGTGGGATCCCTGGTCCTCCTCGTTCAGGACGGATCTACGTGTCCATCAATATCATTTGACAAGCAGAGTTTTGGTAGACAGCCAACTCGGGGAAGTTACAAACGACGGGCCTCTGGTGGTGTATTCAACGTAACACGGGGAAAGATGTCCGACTGGAATCGTCAAGAGGGTGAATTCCCCAACTGTGGGGTCTTTGACCTGCTGGAGCCAGGGGCATCCTCTGGGCCCCGTCAGACACCCTCAACACACAACGCAACCCTTGTCCCCATCAGGCAGACAGGCTCTGCGACACAGGGCAGGGAGTAGATCAGGGCCCAAGAACCCCCAGAAAGAGACATCCAAGAAAGTATGATTCCAGCCGTAGAGCATGGGATCAGGGGGCTGGTGATGAGACATGGTTTCTAGCAGACAGAGGCAGACAGAGGCCTGAGGACGGGCGATCTGGGATGCAGCACTGCCCTTGTCTCAGGTATAAGACGACCAACAGAGAAAGACAATATGAGTATGTGGACCAAAAGGACATTAGGCTCAGACAAAGGACCTCAGACTGTAGATGAGGCACAATTTCTCTCAAGGCTGAGAGGGCCGAGGGAGGACACTTGATGGATGTGGCAAAGGTCGCCTGTCAATGTCCCAGGCGTCCTGGTGTTTGTCAAGTCCTCTGTCTTCCACAAGCCTCCTGGCTGGCTCGCCAAGAAAGTATGTCACTGGCACCGCCCAGCTCGGTGCGGTGGGGTCCCAGGTCCTCGGTCCACAGACACAGAAGGATTTGAGAGTGGACACACAGCAGTTTTAACAGAGGAAGATTTATGAGCAAAGCGAAAGGACACCCCCAAGGGGAGGGGCGGGCAGGCGTGAGGGAGCTACTGCACCAAAGTTGCGGTGGTCGGTGGTTTTGGAAGGTCGGGTCCGGGGGTGGGTGAGGGTCTCGGAAAAAATGTGTGCCAATCGGGGCGTTGTCTCCCCCCTCACATCGGGAGGGGGAGATCTTTTCCTTACGTAAGCATCTCCGGAACTGTCATGGGGGTGATCCGCCACAGGGGGGTCAAAATCACAATACAAATGAGGGTAGAATGAGGCTGGGGGCTGCCCTCCGTCAGGGTCGAGGGGAGCGCTGTACGTCTGAGGAGATGATGCCCGGTTATTAGGATGCTGCCCCTGGTGGAGTGACCTTGCTCCCAGCTCATATCTAGCCTCCTGCCCATCTCCAAACTAAATACACTCTTACTGCATGATCGAGCAGTTACAATCCTTGGTCCGTACCCAAAGGAGCTGAAAACTTAGGTCCACACAAAAACCCGCACGGGAATGTTTCTAGCAGCTTTATTCATAATTGCCAAAATTTGGAAGCCACCAAGATGTCCCGCGGGAGGAAATAAACTATGGGGCATCCAGACAACGGAATATTATTCAATGCAGAAAAGCAATGAGCTATCAAGCCATAAAAAGACACGGAGGAACCTTCAATGCACATTAATAAGTGAAATAAGCCCATCTGAAAAGGCCACATACGGTGTGATTCCAACTATAGGACATTCTGGAAAAGGAAAGCTCTGCAGACAGTACAAAGATCAGAGGTTGGCAGGGGTGGAGGGGGGAGGGATGAGCAGGCAGAGCACAGAGGACTTTTAGGGCAATGAAACTGCTCTGGCTGATATTGTAACAGTGGATACCGACACGATACATTTGTATAAACCCACAGAATGCACAACACCCAGGGCAACCGCTAATGTCAACCGTGAACTTGAGTCTATAACAAAGTATCAATCTGGGTCCATCAATTGTAACCAAAGTAACACACTAACGCCCGATGTTAATAGCAGGGGAAACTGTCTGTGCGCCTTGGGGGGGGGGGCGGTGAGCTGGTCTATGGAGCTCTGCACTGGCTGCTCAAATTTTCTGTAAACCAAAAACTGCTCTAAAAAAAGTTTATTTATTTTTTTTTTGTTTTTTATTTTTTGTGAGGAAGATCAGCCCTGAGCTAACATCCGTGCTAATCCTCCTCTTTTTGCTGAGGAAGATCAGCTCTGAGCTAACATCTATTGCCAACCCTCCTCCTTTTTTTCCCCAAAGCCTCAGTAGATGGTTGTATGTCATAGCTGCACATCCTTCTAGTTGCTGTATGTGGGACTCGGCCTCAGCATGGCCGGAGAAGCAGTGCGTCGGGGTGTGCCCGGGATCTGAACCTAGGCCGCCAGCAGCGGAGCGTGCACACTTAACCGCTAAGCCACGCGGCCCCCAAAAATAGTTTATTAATTAAAAAATTTTTCAGGAAGGGTGTGAGTATATTCATCCGCATGCAAAATGACATTTGTAACAGGTTCTTCATGGCTGCACTATTTACAGGAGAAAAAAAGCTGGGATGGGGAAACGTACTTTTGTGGGGAAGACAATCCAGCTGCAGGGTGGAATATTATGCAGCCGTTAAAAAGCAAGAGAAAGTTCTTGACTGTACAGGAAGAAATCCAGGATGTATTGTTACGAGGGAACCAGACTAAGGTCTTCGAAACAGCAGGGACATTAGGAGATCGTTTCTGTAGGGAAAAAGAAAATATACAGACATGTTTGTTTTGGCATAGAACATTGCTGGAAAGAGAAACAACCTGCCTGGCGGCCTCTAGAGAGTGTGGGGGAGTTGGGGTGCTGTTTTTATTTTCTGAACACCCTTTGGTATATTTTCAAATCTGTGGCCCGAGTCTGTTTTACCTATTGAAAAAAATAAACTGTAAAATGTATTTTAGAAAGACTACTGTGAAAAAAAAATTGGGCAAATTAAAAGCATTTGGATCGGTTTTAAAAACAGGAGGGGGGACTTTTAGGGCAGGCTGTGGGTCTGCCTGGAGCCCCTCCGTTTGGGCTGAGAGCCCCCCTCCACGCCCCCGGAGCCCGGCCCTCACCCTGGCTCACACCTTTCTCGCTCTGGTTCAGAGAATGTTCGGAGCCCAGCGGGGCCCTGGGAGGTGAGACGTGGGCTGGGCTGGGGCCAGGCCTGACTTGCCCCTCATGGCTGTGCCGACCACCCAGCCTTCAGGAAGCCCTGGGAGGCCTGACTGGCTCTGATGAGGGACCCGTGAGTGCCAATGTGGGGCCAGGGGCTGAGCCAAGCCTTTCTTGGCGCCCAAACCAAGGAGGACCAGAGTCAAGGGAGGAAGGGCAGCTGGAGAAGAGCTACCAGAGGCCGCGGGGCTGCTCTGTGCCTCAGTTTCCTCATGGGCAAAGTGACTCTCTGGCTGGGGATGCCCCAGATGACCTGTGTCCAGGGAACCAGGGGCTCTGCTGGTTCTGAGCCCTGGATGTCGAGCCAGACAGGGTGAGGGGGGGCAAA